GGGGCTCAGCGCGCCCGAGTCATCTTTAAATGGCAGCGCGTGCTCTCTGGCTGATGAGCCGCCTGGCCCGGGTTTGGTGTGGGCGATCCTGCGTGTGTGGGTGGAGGAGGGAGGCAGGGTAGATATCGAGGTGAGGTACGGGTGGGGGTGGAAGTGGCCTGGTGTGTTCAAGTGAGAATGCCTGTATTTCAGGACTCTTCCCGCTGCCAGTCTAGAGATAGCAGTGTCTCACTCTCAAAGCTATGGATGAACTGCAGTGTGTGTGTGTGACAGAGAGAGAAGGTGTGGAGGGAGGTGAGATGACGGAGAAGAAAACTGCTTAAATGATTTTTAAAGGTGGTGATTGTTGCTCCCTGCTATTTCGTTAGCAATTCCGGTCATTTTACTGCCTTGCTGAGATCTGACAGTGCTTAGGTGGCTCTCTTCTTCCAGGATGTGTGCAGCGGGAAATTGCCTTATGCAGTGACACAGTGCGGATTTCTAAGACAGCCTAGCCCTGGCTTGTGGAGTGCATGGGAGGCCTTGTGTGTGTGTGTGTGTGTGTGTGTGTGTGTGTGTGTGTGCGTGTGTGCGCGCGCGCATGTGTTCCCAGAAACTATCAGATTTGGGCTGTAGTGCAGGAGAAAAGGAAGCAAAGAATTAATCAGATTCGTTGCTTCCATGGTGATTACACTTCTGAAGGTGAAATAGGATTATTATAAATTGGCAGACTTATTTAGTCTTTGTTTTCTGTACCCTTAATGGTGAATGATTTAATACAACTAAAACTCAGTATGATAGGCAAGCTTGGTTATTGGTGAAATGTTTACACTTGACATTTACAGTGCAAGTTGCTATATTTTGGGGGCTGTTTATTTCCTTTACTTTTGTTCCTAATGTGGTGGATTTGCTAGGGTTGTTTGCTGTGTAGCACATTGGGCATATAATATAAAACAAAAATTCAAATGTATTTATCTGTTTTGAGAAAGGAAGTAGCTGCTTAATTGATGCTTTCACTCGATTACCTTTTATTTTAGAAGATTATGTAAGAAGGATAGAGAAATGATGCGTTGATACAGATGCCTAGTAGCATATTTTTGTGACCTCTGCTAGTAGATAAATGAAATATATCATTAAGAAAGCTGATCACCAGACTTCTCATCCTGCATTTTTACATTAGGAAAAACTCGGTTTAAAAAAGTACTTTAGAATCAATTTGTGTCTGGTTAGTTTCTTAAAGGTTTATTCTTATTAGATCTTATGCTAGATTTGTCAGAAGAGTCATTTTAAAATTTAGGAATGTGCTGGGTATAGTGGTGAACGTGTGTAATCCCAGCACGAAGCTAAAGCAGAAGGATTAGGAGTGAGACACAGGCCTTGGCTTCACTCAAATTTCCTGTGTCCTTGGTTGACAGATCTTGAGTCACAGTAAAGCATCCTCATTGCTACATTTGAGGATCACATGCCACTTTGATGATTAATAACCCTGCATTTCTCATATTACTCTTATACTCACTTTTGTTCCACTAATGTGGAGCATATGGAAGAAAGAGGTTGATTCTCTGTTTCTTCCTCCAAATTTCCTTTGCTCTCTATTAATAGACTTATTGGGGATCAGGTAATAAAACATTAGTTCTTAATGAGAATGAGTAACTACTTGCTTGTAATCTTTATTAACCACTGTCAGTGGTAAAATTCTGAATCCTGAAACAGAGATTCTTAAGTAATTTGGAAGGCAGCTTTTCTCATTAGCGTCAGCTTAGCAAGTATCCCAGGCCCATTCACAGGAGTGTAAGCCTACCGTTAGGTTGCAAAGAGGCAGATAATGAAAAGAGCAGTAGACTTTGTGGTGGAGTATCTGGCTCAACTTTGCTTTGCTTATGGGGGTTTTGTGACCTTCAACATGCCATTTCACTTTTTCAGCTTAATTTTCCCAGTTGAAAAATGAAAGTGCCTTGTAAAGAGTTATTCAAATGTAAGCACTATTTATTTTTTACAAATATTGATCCGATTTTATATTGACTTTATTACTTTCACTTTTTGGCTTTATTCCCTTATAATACTTGGATTCCTAGAAGCCACAGTTAAGAGTGACTCAGTTGGTAATTCCCTAGTCCTTAAGCCAAAACTATTTCCTCTATTTGGGAGTTCTAGCATTTTTGTAAATGTACTTTATGTTACCCTTGAGGATGGCTTGTGGATGTTTTCTGACTTTTCAATTTTGTATAAAAGATCAGACCAGGGAATTTCTTTGTATGGAGATTTTCTAGTGGTAGTTCTAAATTTTAACTTTTGCAAATTAATCTTTAACTTGCCTCTCATCTGTTTTCTATTGATAGCTAAATCATTGCTTGTTAAATATTTTTTAGAACATAAACTTTCATATAAAATTTTAATTATTTTAGCTGTATCTGTGGCTTCATCTGAGAGGTTTAAAAAAATTCCACCAGATCTAGATAATAGAAGGAATTTTTTCCATTAAGCACCCTTCTCTAGCCAAGATCAAATAACTTTCTGGGTTTTTAACAGCTAATGCATCTTAACTTGACAGTCATGGTTAGATTGACATAGTTTCAGTGAAAGTAATTTATCAAAGCCTCCATTAAATTGTCTTTTAATATGAACATGTCAAGCCTGTTCCCTGGGAGATACTTTCCTATTCTCATGTCTTTTAAATATCATTTTACGACCGTGAGGAAAATGGTAGGAGAAACTCTTTGTAAGTCTAAGATCCGACACTACATATGCACTTTCAGAAAATATTTCTTAAGCACCTGTTTTGTGTCAGACAGAGTACCAGGAAATATGAGTTCAAACATAAAGTCTTGGATCTCAAGGACTTTACAGTAAAACAAATAAATGATGCAACATAGTAACCATATTATAGCATCTTGTACAAGGAGAAATGAAAGTATTGAAGAAGGCAACCAGATCGTTAGGAAGTCATGGCTTCAAACAGACAATTAGGCTGTATCTTAAAGGATAAAGAAAGACTGTTTAGGAGCCTTTGCATTTTAGGAAGAGGGGACAGAATGTGCAGAACTCCAAGGTGTGCTGTATCATGTGTATGTGTGAGGGGTTATATCTTGACTGCATATATTTCCACTGCATACTGGGGAGTGTTGAGGGGTAGAACCTGGCAGTTAGTTAGGGGCCAATAAGGTTAAAATCCCAACTCTATAGTTAACTTGCTTTAAGGCATTGACATTTTGAATATGTGTTGTGCTTTAGATTCCCTGTGTTTATGACCCATAGTATTGTAGGTCCACCTGCTATTCAAATGAATCCTCAGTATTGCAGGCATCAAATGCTTTCTAATTGCTCGTAGTAAGAAAGGTCTGAATATTGTGCCCAAAAGATCTCCATGGGAATTTACCTTCCTGAGTACATTAACTTATTTTAAAAAATCTAATGAAGTGCCAGCCATAGATATTGCGCCATTTCTGGAGCAAGTGTTGTGATTTTGAGGCTGAACATGTCTTGTGCTCAAGCAAGTTGTATTTTGAATATTTGATATATGTTCTTTGTTGTTTAATGTGCTTAGGATCTGTAATCAGGTAGCTGCAGCCTCACCTCTTGGGTATACTTTGCAGCAAATCTTTTGTTTCCAGTTGAATCAGAAAACTACTTTCTTTCTGCATTTTTCATTTGATGTCATTGTGGTATGTAGGTGGCAGCTTTCTTGGGCACAGTTGTCTGAATAACTGCTCACAACATGAGTCATTGTTTTTAGTCTTCTGCCTAAAAATTCCATCTTAGAAATAATGTCATGCAGTTGGTCACTATGACATGCTATTCATGATGTACATTGCAGCTGGCTTTGTTATGTTGATGAAATCTACCTGTGTCATTGGGAAGGGATGAAGTAGATTATTAAATTGAGTCAGTCTCTTCCTTCAGTGATACCCCCTGTGAAAAAAAGGTGCTAAGCAAGAATCTGCATAAAACACATATGCCTTATAGTCTAAGCATACAGTGCCTAACTTTTGTTATTGTGTCTGCTTTAATCCTTACCACAGTTGTACTTCTGTTTGAGCAACTGGCCAGTTTAAGTAGATACTAACTTTGAAGAAGTTCTGTATTGGCCCCTGGAACTTTGACAGTTCAGCATACCACATTGAAAAGGTAGGAACCAAGTCTACATAGAGTAGAACAGCTTAATGTTAATATACTTTTACCAAATTCCTCTGTCATTAAAGCACCATTCCTGTATTGTTTAATTTCAGAATTGTGATTTGCCACACATGACATGTCCAGTAAAATGTAAGCCCACAAGGGTAGGGGTTGGGGCCTGTTTTGTCTATTGTAGTCTTGCCAACAGTGAGTAGGGCTCAACAAGACCATGCTGTCAGTAAATTTTTGTTTGAATGAATGAATGAGTACATTTTATCATCCATAAACCTTTTGTTCCTTACTAGAAGAAATCTTTTATTCATTATCTGAATAATTGCTTTCATTTTTGGAAAATTTTTTTCTGAGAAATAAGTTTTAAAATTTGTTTTGAAGTCCCTATTAGAAGGTCCCCTCAGGGACCAGTCTGGGAAATGAAAAACCATTGTAGGTCATATAGTAGAGGGCATATAATACAGGGAATAAACTATACAGGTGATACAAGTGCCAAGAGACTAACCAAGGGCTGAGGAGGCACCTGAGGGATCAGCGATACCTGAGAGCTACTATGCCTTGAAGGAAAATGGAAGGCCAGAACCTAAGCCAACTGACGTGAACTAGAAGCATGGAAAGAGGAGCTGTCTGTGGCAGTGAAGCCCATGCCAAGTAAGAGGTAGAACCGTGGCTTTTCTCTTCTTGCCTCTTATCCCCACCACTACCTCTCCTTGAGGGGACTTACCCAAAAATCGGTTGAGAGGAGGGCTGGGGAGATGTAGTTCCCTGTGATGGAGTGGAGCAAAGGAGCTTGCAAGCATTAACAGGTGAAGACACAGAGGCACTTAAAACATCTCCAAGATATAATTCTGTCTCCCTATTTAAATGATTATGGAAAAGAGATAGGATTTTGAGGCAGATACAATCTCGTGTGCTTTGAAGGCTTGTGAGACTGGTTCTGAAACAGCATTTAGTCCCACCCCAGGAAATAATATAACAACTCAGTCATGACCTGTGTAATTAGGGTGTATGACTGGGCAAATGAGCTTCTGTTGAATCTATATTTGACTGTTGGTCGCTTCCAGGAGCAGTTTATCTTTTGATTACTCAGAAAATAACTTCCTACTCTGTCAATTCTGGGAAGTCTTAGGCTTAGGCATGGTGTATCTACATTGACCTGCCCCACCTACAGCCGGAAGATGGACAGTTTTGAGGATGGTGGCCTTAGCATGTGCAGTTTAGGCTTTAATTGATAGTTAGGGTCATTGTGATGGGCCTAACTTACTTTGTGCTGCCATCATTTTAACTGCCCCCCCCATTTAACCCAGGGCCTTCACACTGAGGTATATCCCTTTTATTTATTTGTTTGTTTATTTACTTTTGAGACAGGATCTTGCTAAATTGCTACATGGCCCAGTCTGGGCTCCAACTTCTGATCCTCCTGTCTTAGCCTCTCGAGAGTGCTGGGATTACAGGTATGCACTATTATACCTGGCTGATTTTGACTAGTCTTATTACTTGGTAGTTGACAGTCCCCATCTGCAACTTCAGATAGGTTAGCATTGGGTGAGGAGGTGAGATCACTGGCTCTATTTTCATCTACACTAGACCAGAAAAGTATTTTGTGCAAAGGAATGTTGCTTCTGCTCCATTTAAAGGAAGAACTCCCCAAGTTACTGCTACTTTCTTCTTGATTATAGAAGTGCTTAAGTTTGTGGTTCAAGTTCAGTGCTTTCTAGAAGTGCTTTTTTTGTCAATCAGGTCACCTGCATTTGAGCCCTTAATGGAATTGGTGGAACTAGGCCAGCAGAGGGTTTCAGTGCAGTGTGAATATGTATGCTTTTGGGTTGTTACTTTTCTCAGAGGCCATAGATAAGGGGTCTTCATTATTTGAGTAGTCACCGGTTGTAAACATCACATGGATTTCGTTGCTTTTCACTTTTCTACAAAAAGTTAATTTCCTCTTGGCAAGGATTGTTGTAATTCACAGATATAATTAAATTTTAATTTAGCATTTTAAAAAGCATATTCAGCTGCTTCCCAGAGTACCATTCTTTTCAGCTAAAATATACATCCTAAAAGGTACATCTATTCATTTTGAAGCCTCATGTTTAATAATTATAATCTTTCACTGCTATGTTTGACTCTTCCCTTTTCCAAACTTTCTCCTTCCCTACCCTGCTCTTCTGGATCCTATATTTCCCCACAGGCTTTGTGACTGCTGGGCCATTGATGACTGACCGGCAGGTACCCTCCCCATTGGAAAGCCCCAGAGATGAGCCAAATCTACCTTCAGCTGTGGCCATCCGTTGGCGTAAGGTTACCCTGGTGGTTGTCTTCAGTTTGTCCACCTCTCCTCTCCCCCATCCTCCCTCTTGTGTGGCTGAAACTTGCCCTGGAATCCCACTGTTGTAGTATGTCACTGGGTAGTATGTAATAGGATTTTATTATGACTGCTTCTTTTCATTGTCAATTAATTTTAAGAAATTCTCTGACAATTTTTGTTAACCAGAGCCCTCTTAATCCTCAGTTTGTATATTTCCTATAAGTACTCTGGTTTGCTTTTAAGTACATGTAAAATACGATTTATCTAGGTACTGAATTTCATAAGCCAACTGGAGAATACTTTTTTTGTTTTTGATTTTGTTTACTCAGAATTGAACTCAGGGCCTTGTGCTTGTCAGGCAGGTGCTGCATCACTGAGCTATATCCCTGTCCCATGTTGATTTTTTTTTTTTTCAATCAAATCAGAGCTTTTAAAAAGAAATTTCAAAATGAACCAGATTCTTCAGGCTTCATGACATTTCTCCTCATTAAAAAACCAAATATGAAATGCTGTCATTTTATGATGTACAGAGAAGAGCAAAGCAAATGCAGAAGGGAATAGGTAGGCCTATAACTGATAGGCCATCCTAGCATAGTGATTGAAACAAATAGTCTTTTCCTTTCTTGAAAGAGCCATGCTGTCTTCTGCTGCAGTTGCTGGTGATGAAAAAACGATACATTCCCAAGCCTTGACTATAGAGCTTGCATCTGTGGATGTGGGTTTACATGTTACTTGGCCTCATTTGCCTGATGTGCTCATGCAGTAAATTTTCTCGTTTAACTTCTTCCTCTTTTCTTGTTTAACTGGAAGTCCCCGAATGTGGGTTTAGAAATGAGTTCTCTATGTTTCTAACTTTGAGTTAAGATTTTGCCTTAATACTGTGTAGATGGTTGTCTTTGTTATGCCTTAGAAAAATAACTTCTTACAGAATTTTCTGTGTAAGCTGGTGACATTTTATGCTGCCAGAGGGAAGAGACACTGCTGTCTTTTTGTTGTTGTTGATACTTTACCTCATATGATAACTGACATAAGCCCTCAGAGGAAAAATAGGAAGGAAACACACTGTTCTTAGTGAGAAGCATTTGTTCAAAATAGCTGTAAACAGCAAGGGTAATGGAAACCAATTTGAGTGTGACCACCGATTTGAAAAAGAAAGAATTATTTTTGCCCAAAGAGTAGCTTTTTGGAATAGGAACTGACTTTGTTGCTTTGAAAGTGGGAATGAGGAGCCTGATTAGAGGGACTGTTACAGGGAAGAATGTTGAGAAAAGGTCTTTTCTACAGTGTGACTGCTGTCTCAATGTTCCCAGCCTGTGCCAGAGGGCAAGGGCACTTCATTGCATGCGGGACTGGAACCAGGAAGACTCCAGTTTAGCCCCTCTGTGCAACCAAACTACTGGGTTCAGAGCCCAATCTGTACAGAAGTAGCCTAATACAAGTGAGTCAAATTGAGTCATGTTATGGCAGAGTAAAAATAGGTTCCGGTTTCATTAGACTTCTCATACATTTAAGAGAAAGAGGGGGAAATGTGTTGCCATAGAAACAGACTCCCAGACCAGTTATTTTTTTGTCTTATGGGATTTGGGGGAGTGAGGAGGTGGGAGGCTCTTTATGCTTATTATCTAAACATTAAATGCTATTTCTTTAAAAAGCAGAGGCTTCATCTTTTCTATGAAAATTATGTATATTCATGACAAAAATCACTGGAAAGTATGAAAAACAGAATGATGTCAAAGATAGTTCTCATAATCACTCATTACTTATTTGAACTTTTAACACAATGGTTTTTATATCAGTATTGTTTTGCAGCATTTACCATAAGCGTTTTCATGATGTTACAATATTTAAATGCCTTTATTATATTTCATCATGGAAATATGTCACTATTACTTAGTCCCATCCCGACTGTTGGACATTTTGGTTTTTAGTTTTTCAGTATTACAAATAATAGTAATTTATAGCTGGGGATTTGGCTCAGCGGTTCCGCTGCCTGCTTCGCAAGTAGAAGGTCCCCAGCTCGATCCCCGGTACCAAAAATAAAACAGATAATAGTATAATGTAAATTTGTGTGTTGCTATTAGGCTCATGGGTTATTTATATGTTCAGATTTGAGTGTCATGGGGGCCCTCTAGTTTTAAAATGTTGTAGGGCTAAGGAGGTGGCTCAGTTGTATAGTGCTTGCCTAGCAGGGGGTCCTCTGGGTTGGAGATGGCTTTGCTGTGGAGACTGTCATTCTGAAATGATTCCTTGTATTAGACATTTGTTGATGCAAGGATTCACTGCAAGAACAACTTTATGGTTCATATAACAGCAAGACGGGCCAGCATGTCACCTTAGATGCCTGGTGTGCAGGAATTCTGTCTTGTCATTGGTAAGCCTCATATTGTTCACTTAAATCCATCCCTGGGGAAGGTGGATGAGAGGCTTACATTAGTAGAACCACTGCCTTTTTTTTTTTTTTTTAACAAGAACTTCCCTTAGCCTTAAATTAGGATGTAACGTCTGCATGTCTGTCTGTATACCTTATGCACAGTATCTCTGTCCTTGAAACGAAGAGTATTATTACTGTGTTCAGGTCATATTCTTTTTTTTTTTTTTTTTTTTTTTTTTTTTGCTTTTTGACAGCCACTTTCATACTATTATGTCATATATTTGAAGACCTGTGACATTCCAGGAAGCTGAGTAGGTGAATCATATGGTTATTTTGTGGTCATTGCTTCTTTGCACCATTTCATTTGTGTGCTTCGGGCTTCTGTCCACACTGAAAGTGGAGCCAGTTACGAAGCCAGTCTTTTGTCCTCTCAGTGGGAGGTTTTAGTGTGACGTATCATGTTGGGAGAAATGTAGCAGAGGATATGAAACAGGAGGCAGAAATAGCAGTCCTTAGTTTTTTGATGGGATGAGAGTAAACGTTTAGACACTGCTCTCAGGTGCCAGAGAAATTAATAACAACCTTGCAGCATTTTAGAAGTTCTCCTGCACCCACTGAAATAAGCCTGTTTGACTTGAAGAATCTTACCGTGGCTCTTTTGAAACAATGATTATTTTCCTAGAGATCTGGCTTGGTTCTTCTGCATAATGTTCCCTGTGTAGGATCTTTCCATTCAAGTGGCTGAATTTTTGCCTTACACCCTTGTGCCACACCTTTTGACCTGTATACTTCATTATACTCAATTCCAAAATACCTAGGTTTTGAAATATTCTGGTGAGTCTTTTCCTTGTGAGAGGGCAAATCTCTACCTTTTGCTCTCCTTCCTTAAGGCGGAGCTGTTTTGATGATGAACATTCAACAGGCCTGTGGACTGTTTGTACTTTGATCCCAGAACTCATTTCTATTCATTGTTTAAATGAAAGTTCTCTAGCTTGTTTGAAGATGTTTGTGATTCGGTTAAGTGATACTGATTTTCCCTGTGTTTGACATCGGTTGGGCTCCTCTAATGTGGTAAGAAAGCAGTGCATTGCTCCATAGAGAAAAGTCCACATGTTATTTTCCTCACAGGAGAGTTCATTTGTTGATTCAGAAAGTTTTGCATAGGTTTGCACTAACCTTGAAACAACTGAAAAGCTGCCCAGCCACTTGGCTTGCTAGTATTTTACATTCTTCTCTCCTTTCTGCATCCTTTGAAGAAGGGGAGTGTGGATAAGAAAAGGTGTGAATAACTCTTCATGAATAATCTTGGGTGTTGAATCATACGTTGCAATGAAAAAGAACACCTACAGAACAGATATCAATTTAGCGACCATTATTGAGCACCTGTGTGTCCAATACACAGTTGAGGTATATAGAGATTATTCTAATTCTAGGCTACCTGATGACCATTTCTTCCGAAAACTTGGACCCTTGACTTGATTGCTCTGGACTTTGGTTCTCCAACTGTGCTTGGACTAGAAAAATCCTCAAGGTTCTTTCCAGTTTTAGAATTCTATACTTGTATCAGTCAGATTTTTCTCACTGTAACAAAATTCTTAAGACAGTTCACTTATAAGGAGAAAAGATTTGTTTTGAATCATGGTTCTGGAGGTTCCAGTTAAAGCTCAGGTGGCCCTGGGGTGCAGGGGCTCTGACAGGGTACACATCAACATGGTGGAGGAGCCTGCCCTGGCTTCTGCCTACTTGGATGCCTACTTCTCTACCTCCTGCCGGTTGTGATAACCAGAAATTTTTCACTTTTTCCCCTTGAGGAGAAATGGCTTTGGTTGGGAATCACTGGACCAGAGGGAGAAGAGTGGGACTATTTAAATATCTTCCTCTTGGATTGTTACCTTTGCAAGGATGTAGTGACCTTCTTTGTCTTTCTGAATTACTCTTGGCTTGAAATCCACTTTGTCTGCAAGTAGACTAGCTACCCCTGCTTTTTTCCTGGTTCCTGTCACACAGAGTATTGTTTTCCATTTTTGACTTTCAATCTATGAATTTTTTTTTAAAGACAGGGTCTTGATATGCAGTTCAGGCTGGCCTTGAACTCACTATGTAGCTGAGGCTCCCTCAAACTCTCGGTGATCCTAAAACCTCAGCCTCCTGACTGCTGAGATTACAGGTATGCACCACAATGCCCAGCAACAAATTTCTTTTTGAATTGAATGTGTTTCTTGTATGCAGCATATTGTAGATCTTGTTTCTTGATTCCTCTGTCAGTCTGTTTCTTTTGATTGATGAATTGAGACCATTTACATTGATAGTTGTAACTGATATGAATTGACTTATCTTGTATGTTATTTTCCTGTTGTTGGTTCCCTTTTTTCCCCATTTACTTCCATTGCTGGTGGATTCACTCTGTTGGGGTTCATAGAGTCGTAGTCCTCGTTATGTCTAGAATATCCTTTAGAACATTTTGGAGTGCTAATTTGGTGTTCATGAATTTCCCTGGTGTTCTTTGTCATGGAAGTTTTTTATTTCTCCTCAAGTTTGAAATATAATTTTGAGGGGTACTTCAATCTGGGTTGGAGGTTGTTTTCTTTTAGGGCTTGAAATATTTCACTCCAAGCTT